CGGGCAGCAGCCCTCCTCACCTTGGGAAAATTCATGTGTGTGAGCGCCGAGTTTTGTGAGAAGCATTTTGATGCTCTTTATTCAAGATTCTAGAGAAATCGAAAAGCCCCGCGGTCCGATCGAATATCATCATCGCCTTGGGAGATATCGCGGTCTGTTTTGCGACAATCATGGACCAACATTCGGATGGGTTGTATAAGGGCTTAACGGACTCTGACCTGGAAGTCAAGAAAAATACGTTGATGGTCTTGACCCATTTGATCCTCAATGGAATGATCAAAGTCAAGGGCCAATTGGGCGAAATCGCTAAATGTATTAACGATCCTGAGAAACGTATCAGTGATCTCGCGCAACTCTTCTTCGATGAGTTATCCAAAAAAGATCAGAATGCGATCTACAATAATCTGTTTGTCTTTTTTTTCTTTTGATCAATTTAGCATTTAATTCACTCATTGATCATTCTTTTTGCTATCTTTAACTTTCATAGGCCAGATATGATTTCACACTTGTCCGTGGGCAAGCATGCGGTAGACGCACCATTATTTCAATCAGTGATGGATAACATCTTCAAACATTTGAAAAAAGTGAGTCCCTTCAAGCTTCGAAAACCACGAAGATTGCCAACAAAACCCAATCCACTCGGATACTTTTTGACTGATTTGGTATGATCTCATGTAGGATAAACAATCTGAATCGATTGTCGAAAAACTGTGTCAACGGTTCAGGCTGGTTAGTGAAGTTCGACAATGGCAAGATATCGCTTATTGTTTGTCTTTGTTGCAATTTAAGTCGGAGAAGGCTTTGAAAAAAGTCAGTCTCGTTCTTGTCTTCATGGGGTTTTCCTATCGAACCAATTTTAATCACGGGCGGATTTTTCGTTTGTTTGTTTTTCGGATTTAGTTGGTCGACGGATTGCCCTCCTATCAGGATAAATTGTATGATCCTGAAGTGTTCAAAAGTTTCGAGGATATTTTGGTATGTCTGATCGTTTTTTTTTTGTACATTTCTTGGTGCGAAGAAGACAAAAACTGACATGGAATTATGATGGGGGGGGGGGGAAAGACGAAAGTGAAAGCGAATAAGTGGGCGAAGGAGCATGCGGATTTAGTCGAATTTGAGAAAGCATTGCGGGCCCAAAAGGAGAAAGGAGAAGAAGACAAACAGATGGAGAACAAAGTCCAAAAGAAACAATCGGTTGTTCGCAAACGCCGACAGAAACAAAACAGTAACCAGAGTCCTCCGCCAAGAAATCGACACGAAAACGAAGACGAGGATGAAGTGGATTGGCAGAATGAGGACCGAGGATCGAACAAGAATTCGAAATCAAAGTCGAAGCCTTCGGTTACTCGTCCTACTCGTTCTACTCGCAAAGGTCCGTATTTCTTATCTCTCTCTGCTCGTTTGTCCCTTCTCAGTCGGAGTCTTAATCCTGTTTTTTTTTTTTTAATCATTCACTTAGGCACTCGGAAAAGAGACGCCACACCTTCTTCCGATGAATAGATTTTTACCCATGATTGCTTTTATCTTTGTATCATGATCTCCATTGTCGATTTTTCTATGCTCAGGGTGTCTTTTCTTTTCTCCAATGGAAGTCCATTGCTTTTCTTTGCCCATACTTTATCTATGTATGCATAGATGTTCATGGAACCCAACTCATACTTTGATTTTTCTCCTTGTGTTGTATTCTTTGTACCACTCTTATAATGCTATATACGTACCGGGCAAGAAAAAAAAAAAACTTGGAACGTTTGATCCAAACGAGTCATGGCACGCTTCCTGACTGGTACTGAAGCTCGATCAAGTATTACATCATGAATTCATGACTCCTTTTGAGATGGGTTGGAGCCACTCCTCGGGCAAGGTAACGGATCGATTAGTGGTAGAAACTTAAAACTTCTATGTCGCCAGATCGAAGAGCCTGCTCGTGAGGGTCAATGGGATCAATACTTGATGGTTTTTTTTGTAGAAGTAAGAAAAACACTGTTACAATTCTGACGAGTGTATACTATTATTTTTCAATTTGAGTACATCTAATGGTTAACCTTTTCATTCACATGTTTTATATAAGTAGGTCTAGAGGCAGGATTTCCTTGATGGTTCATTTTTGGTTCATTTCTTTAAGTTTTGTCTTTGAATCAAGTTGATGGACGGATAGAAGGACCTACAGATTTTACAGAAATGTAAAGGGACTTATTAAGCCTCAGGTTCCCCGAAATGAGCTGAGCCAAACAAGTCTGCCTTTAAGAAACATAAACCAGAAGAAAAGAAAAGAAATGCACGCGTACAAGAGAATCAAGAGCGGTTTATGAGACTGCTTGGATTGGATTCCAATTGATGGAGTTTAGATTCGAGTTTTTGGCGATGAGTTTGCAAGTCGAAACGCAGGACAGAATGGAGCAAACTTTCCTTCTGAAGCTGAGCGATCAAAGCCTTACGCTGAGCGAGTTGATCGAGAAGCGAGCGAAGTTGGCGATGCAAGTCGGACTCGGTCGCGGCATCGAGGAGGAGCTTGATTGCATGGAGCTCGACTTGTCGGGCCCGGACGAGCTCGGAAAGCTTTTTGTCCTTAGCTTTCAAGCGATTTTTCAGCTTGCGAGCGGCGTTCGATTTCTGAGCGGATGTGCGTTTCAAGCGGTTGACCTTCTCATTTAGATGATGGATCCTCTGTTCGGTCTTGCTCATCAATTCCTTCATGTAGTCTTCCAAGGCAGCATTGCGGAGGCTTAGCGCATGGTAGGAAAGTCGTTCTGTGGCTGGCTGGTCCTCGTTTCCGGCGACGGGGTTCAGTCGCTCAGGCTCGGAAGGAAGCAAGCTGAAAAACAGTTCGGAATCGGAGTCTGAAGACTCTTCTTGGGTGGTTTTCAGTCTCAGAGGAATCGGACGAGTTTTCCTCCTGCTCATCATCCACTTCGGGCTCCACTTTTCATCTTATTCTTGCCCACCGGCAGATACGTCTCGTCTTCGGGATCCGATTCCACTTCGATCAAGCCGAGCCATTGCGAGGAGGTTTTATCACCCCTGCTCGGCTTGGTATCGATTTTTTCATCGACTGGACTCTTCTCAGCTGGAGGCGGCGGCGGATTGTCGGCCGACGGACCTGCCGTGCCCGGAGTGTCAGCCGACGTACAACGAGCGACATCGCTCGGCACATTAGTCGGCACCGTCACGTCGGGCGGATTGTCGCCTCCGGAGTGTCCGCCGGGAACCGGGTGATCAGTCGAGCTGCCAGCTGCAGCAACTGGAATATTAAATGGCTTAGCGTGAGCTAGCATATCATTTGGGAGAGACAACAAGAGTATCGGCAAGCGTACCCGCTGGAGCCGCAATATCGACCGCACCGCCAACTGCCGCTCCATCTGGACGGTCAGGGTCGGCAGACGCCTGATGGGGATCACGAGGACGCGGGCCGATCAGACCGGATAGGCTGGCTTGCACGCCAACAGACGCGGAGTGTTCTTGATCGAGAGCGCCGGCCATGATGGGGTGATCGATGAGGAAATCTTTGGATGGGCTCCTCAAATGGAGATGGAACGGGTCGCTCGCGTTGAAGAAGTCGCGACGGGCATTGGCTTCGTTTAAAGCGCGTTCGAGCTCGGTTTGCTCCTCAAGACGATCGGTCGAAAAGCCGAAGATTCCCCACAACGATCGGGAGAGTGAAGTGGACGAAGGCTGGGCCTCTTGAGGGATTGCGAACTCCGCAAAGCGTTGGCTGAGGTCTTCTTGTTGGATGCCGGCGGCCTGTTGATTGTTATTTTCGGTTGGATTCCTGTCGGGCTCTTCGACCAAGGGCGGCGTCGTAGAGTCTTGGAACAATGAATCCATAAAGTCCAGGCCGGGATCGTCTCTCTCGCTTCCACTGCCTTGATGAGAGCTATCATCTTCCGAACCCGCCATCCGGCTGGTCCCCTTGCCCTTGCCCTTGTGACGGGAAAGAAGGCCGTCGAGATGGCCTTCTGAATCTGAGTCTGTATCCGACATTCGCTTTTCTCTTGATCAAGTTCTTGCTGGTAGTTCAATCAAAATCGGGTGGTCAGATGGTCTCCCTATTTCTTCGAGTCCGACAATCTCATAAACTCATGGTGATGACTTACAAATAATTTGTTGGTGATCGATATTTGTCCTTTGCACACAGTTATGTATCACAGTATCCTTCAGTCCTTACATGTAATACTCAGCAGCACCCAGCTACCAAAAGATAGACAATCTTCC